CTGTGAAAAAGGCAATGATCCACGTTAGAGATCATTAGGAATAGAATCAAAAACAAAAGTGCCAATGTGGCAATGCATTTTTACAAGTCCGTGATACATTTGCATCTGGAGTGTTATGAACAGTTCTGATTTTTGCATTGTGAAAAGGAATAGAGCAGGTAAAAAGTAGAGAAGAGGACAATCAAAACAATCAAGGGACTTGAATGCTTTCTCTATGGAAGCAGTCAGTCTCAGAAATAAGAACAGTGTCCTAGCTGTTAACATTCAGAAAGCTCTTAATGACCTGGCTGTTCAATGAGCTTTGGGGATTGAGGAAACAACAAGCATGTTTCTAGGATAAGTGCAGGTGCTGTTTATTATGCTTGGCCACTGAGAGAAACAAAATACTAAACTCAGATGTACAGTACCCTGGCCTGATCCAGCAGGGTCATTTCTGTGTTCAGAGGAAGTACTTGTTCCTGACTTGTATCTTCTTCGATCAAGCAAATCTGTGCTTAAAATTGCAAGAAAGCACTTCAACTAGAGTGATGTTTCTCACATTTTGCAACATTGAGATGTGTGCAGTTCAATTCCCAGAATTCCCTAGTCGATATGTGTGCCATCGTTAAGAAACACTGAACTGAAGGTGCAGAAATTTTGTTTGCTCTGTTATACTTCATTAACACATTTGCCATGAATTGCCCAGTTATTTGGACAAATCTATTAGTTTAATATCCACAATATGCAAAGGATTTTCCTATAATGCAGGGGCAAGGATTCAGCTCACATCAATAACTAAGGTGTGGATGAAGCAAACATGTGATTTTCTGTCACCAGGATAGCAAAGGTGAACCACCCAGAGTGAGAAATGGTCTCCAGGGGATTGTGACAATTTAGGAAAAGCAGATATGTGTAGTCTCCTCCTCACTCACTTTGAAAATTTAGTAACTTCTAATGAGCATATCTCTCTCTCTCTCTCTCTCTCTCTCTCTCTCTCTCTCTCTGCAAGTCTTCAGTTGATGATTTTGAAATTGCACTATTGGCAAACATTTCCTTATTTTTAGCTTGTTGCATTAGGATATTGCATTGAAAGCTATTCTTGCTTCCTGAGGGTTGTGTCCTAATCATTCATATGTGCAGTGGGAGGCAGGAATAACCTGGGAGACAGGAGGAAGAGCCACTTTGTAGGCAACAGTCAAATAAGAGGCCTCTGAGCCCGCAGAAGGAATGTGGGCATGGCAAACTTCTCAGGAAGGACCTTCCCTTGTTTCTTGGATTGTAAAGGTGAGGGGCAGAGTTGTACTTTCAGATTTGCAAGATTCTATTAATGTAATCTGAAATGTTAATGTAATGTGAAAAGAGGGACTAGGGGCAAATGATTAGATTTTTTTTTAGATTACATTACATAACCTTTATTGTCATTTTTTCCTCTGGGCACAATGGCACACATTAAAAATGAATTTTAGTTGCTTCCTTTCAAAGTGTACACATACATAACACACATTTAAAACATGATAGCAGTGTTTCAGTATTTAAGGAACTGCTACAAGGAGGGAATCAACCTACTTTTCAAAGTACTAGAAGGCAAGACAAGAAACAATGGTTGGAAACTAACCAAGGAGATCTAAGGAGAAATTTCCTGACAGTAAGAATAAACCAGTGGAACGGCTTGCCTTCAGAAACTGTAGATGGTCCATTACTGGAGGCTTTTAAAGAGACTTGACAGCTATTTGTATAAAAATGGTATAGAGTCTCCTGCTTGAGCAGGTGGTTGGAGTAGAAGACCTCCAGGATCCCTTCCAACTCTTATTCTGTTAATCTGTTAGAGAATTTTAATTTCTCTGTTGGTAAAAAAATAAACCAGAAGCTCTCACAGTTGACTGCATTTAGCTGATTCAAAATAACTTCTTTATATACATATCAAAATATTTACAATACCATACATTCTTCTTTACAGCAACATAGCTCAATTGAAGACTTCTTACAGAGAGATACAGAGACAAACCTGAGACTGGAAATCCAGCTCCTAACTCAATACTCTTTTGCACAGACTCAGTAGCACTTTCTTCACATTGGCTGACTGAGTTACCACATGACTCTTCCTGCTCATGAATATTCCAACACTTACAATAAAGTTAGAGCTAGTACCTAGCTGGGCTTCTTGTCTGGACTATCACACAAGGCTCACTTTGTTTGCTTGTTTAATTGATTTTTGCCCTGCCTTTATTACTTTATAAATAACTCAAGGTGGCAAGCATACATAATACTCTTTTCGCCTCCTATTTTCCCCATAACAACAACCCTTTGAAGTGGTTTGGGCTGAGAAAGAGTGACTGGCCCCAAATCATCCAGCCAGCCTTTATGCCTAAAGCAGAACTAGAACTCATAGTCTCCAGGTTTCTAGACCAGCATCTTAACTACTACAACAGGTCAGTTCCATTAGAAATTTACTTGAGTGACATGATTAATAGGTCCTTTCCTTGTACTACTTTCTGAAGAACAACCCAAGAATAGCTTTTTGGGTTATGGGTTAATAATAAAGCATAGATTTCAATATAACTATTTTAGATCAAAAGAAAGATCAGCATTCATAAGTCACATTTCATATATAGTAAATTTGTTAATGTTCAGGACTTGGAATGAAGATTATTTGCTTCAAATTGTCATAGGACCACTGGATATCCTTGTGCCACTCTCTCTCTCTCGCTCTTTCTCTCTCAACCTACACACCACAAGCTTGTAATAAATACAATATTCGAAAAACATCACTGTAAGCTACCTTGAATTCTCTTTAAGTAGGAATAATAATAATAGTTATAGTAGGCTGCAGAGATTTTCTGTATGGCCAGTATCCATGTGCAAGACCAATTTAAATCTTCCCTCCCTGTGCATGGATGTAATTGTACATAGTGGAGGGAATAAGGGGTACAAAAGCCTATCTTCATTTACAACTTTGATGGTGGTATTTTTTTACTTTATCCTTTTCTTCTTCTTCTCCCTACCTGGATAATAAGAGTAAACTGAATAGTAAACTGGAAATCCAGTTTGGTCTAGTTAAGGCACCAGGCTAGAAAGCGGGAAACTGGGAGTTCAAGTCCCATCTTAACCATGGAAGGCAGCTGGGTGACTTTGGGCCAGTCACTCTCTCTCAGACCAACTGGCCTCACAGGGTTGTTGTTGTGGGGATAATAGGAAGAGGAAAGTGGGTTGGATATGTTCACCATCTTGAAAGGTTCTAGATAGGAAATGAGCAGCAGATAGTCATCCAGCAGCAACAAGTCAGGACATCTCAGGGGATCTTTCTTTAAGTTGATATGAAAGAACAAAATTGATAAAATTGCTCATATGGACTCCACCTTGTTCAGATCTGGGGCAAAGGAAATAATGGGGGCAAAGTCTGATGAGGTAATGAGGGATTCTTTTGAACTTGAGGCATCCCTCCTCAGTAGGATCAAGAGCAGAAGAATCAGTCTTTTTCAATAGCTATCCCATCTATATGGAATATACCCACCTCCAAATTCCAGAGCAGTCCAGTAATCCTGTTATTTCACAGAACAAATAGCTGGGTATTTTTTTTTTTTTTAAAAAAAAAGCACACACAAACCAATGTCTCGAATGTTTTAAGTCTGATTATCTGAATTTTGGCCACTTAGAATCTCCAGAGCAGAGCAGAGTACAAATATCAGTAAATAATTAAATGCATACATTTCAGTTCCTTTCAAACCATAGCTTGGAGAATTGGAAAAATTCTCCATTTTGAAGGTCCTTTTGATGTGAGGAGGATACTGTTTACAGAGTGCCTCCTAAAGGAAGTCCTTAATGATATACATATGAGAATAATTGGGCCTAAAAATTCATTCATGAAATTTGTGGTGACTCAAACAGTATTCAGCCACCTCGATGCCCTTCCCTAAAGCACTTATTCTTGACCATTGTTTCATAAATTGACATAAGAAAAAAATGTAGAATTTCAGAAGCAATTTCCAGCATAGTGAAAACCAGGATGGGGCCACTCAACAGGAGAAGAAAATAAAATAAAATGCCAATTTCTCTGTGTGCATAGAAATATTGCTTCTGTTTTGCCGTTTTTAACTGACATTGATTTTTTTCCTATGTGATTTTAAAATGTTCTTTTCCTAGCATTTAATGTTTTTTTTGTAACTTTCTGTCAAAAGAACCTTAGTTACTAAGTGGATTAGAAGGAATGGAGGATATTCTCATTGGAATCTGTTGCACGAACTGCAATTTATTATCCTTGGTTACACTGATTTCATGGTATAGCAAGAGTCTTTCCTTTTCAGATGTGTTGTCCCAAAGGTGCTTTCCTGCAAACAGCAACTGGACTTGATTTCTTGATTTTTATTGAAAACCTTTTGCTTCTCATCCAAGAAGCTTCTTCAGTTCTAACTAACTGGTGGAGAATGGAAAAGATTCCATTCAAGCACCGATGGTCGTTAAAACCACCTGGGGGTTAATCTGTGCCCTCAGAGTCACCTGAATTAGAGTGCAAAAAAGTGGAAGTGCCTTGGAACTGCTGAAAGGACTGCACTGTAAGAGATAGGTGGTGTCATGCTCCTCCCTCTCTGTTGAGAGAGGACTGCTCAGTTTCAACATTGATAGCTTCTTTGACTCCTCTTTCAAACTTCTTCTGGTCCTTTCTGTGCAGAATGTGAAACTTGTTCTCTTCAAAGGATCTTTCCTTTTCCCTCAAGTTAATTAGAACTGAAGAAGTTTCTAGGATGAGAAGCAAAATGTCTTCAAGAAAAATCAAGAAAGTCCAGGCGGAGAAAAACATCTTTGGGACAATATGACCTGCCTGATTGAGAATCTTCACAGACTTTCAGATGTATTGGCAATGAAACTCCCAGAATTCCCATCTGATGTGACTTTTGGCTTGCATCTTCAACGCGTTTGAAGATGCCAAGTGTGGGAAGATCCAGTAGCTATTTGCTTCCGGGCAGCCTTTTCTGGGTCCCATTTTATCCACGTTGTTCTGAAATTGCTTCATTTTTGATTTCCAGCTGCCATTGTTATCCAGAAGTGGTGGTGTCATATGGACCCTTGTATGGAAGGAGAGGAATGTAAAATACTTCCAGATTACTCAGGTTGGTCATGCAGCAGTGGAAACAAAATCAAAACAACCAAGGTAAGTGGATGGATGGATGGATGGATGGACTCACTCCCTGTTCTCAAGCTGACCAATATCAGGCTATGCTGATCTTTTTTTTTTTTAAAGGATGCACGAGAATAACCAGATTACATGAGAATCATACTGGGTGGCAAAGGAGAGTTTAATTTATTCTGTTTTCTTGGGATCTACATTTCCTCCCGAAATTGTTTTTGCCACCCCCACCTCTCCTCCTGGATGGAAATCATGTATGCCACTGGATGGAAACTATGTTTTTCTCCATGGGTCAAATATCAGAGGAAGAGGCTAAGAAAACATTTCTCTGCTGGACTGTGTCCTAATCCAATCGTCTCTTCCTCTTCCAAATTTTAATTCAGAGATGGGGCATCTAATCACATCTCCCTCCATTTTTATAATTTTCTGCACTAAGCATGGATATTTTTATACCAAAGGCCTCTTGAGGCATATGTGTGCACAGGACCATGCGTATATACAGATATACAAATACAAACATCATTCACCTTGGTGCCAGTTTGGTGGGAAGGGGACATGCATATTGCATCAGTCTTTTTGGACTGCAATTCATCTCCTGTATTTAGTTCAGTTACTGAAGATGAAGCCATGCAATGTCAGGCTTTATTAATTACCATAATGTCCCCAAAGTCAGTGGTCTGTTCCTCCTATCATAAGGAATAAATGTCAATTTTTTATGGGAAGAAGTCAAAGACTGCTACTTCGGTCAAGGTTGAGCTGAGGTTGTAGCTTCTTTCTGGTTTAAGTGACACCCATCACAAATCATTAATGCTGCCTTTCTCTCGGTATCCACACATTGACTTTGATTTCGGGTCATACTAGAACAAGAATTTTCACAAACGCATGCAATATCCATCCCCCAGCATTTCAGTGCAGCTGAGATCATTGGTATGGAAGGGATGGGGAAGTCTACACATACACAATGAATGTAGCATCTTTATTTCTTATCACTGAAGATGGAATATTTTTTATGTCAATCATCAAGTCTCTTCCAGACATGATTTTTTTTAAAGTATAAAGACTATTTTAAATTGCCAGTCCTGGGTATCATCTTTATTTTCAAGAACATAGGGACCTACATAGCTTCTATAGACTTTTTTTTTTTAAAAAAAAAGATAACATAGAAGGTGGATACTGTAGGTGTAGGCAATTTGACATCCTCAAAAGGTTTTGCACTTCAGCACCCCTCAGGCTTAGCCAACATTATCAGTGGAATTGCAGAATTGATGGTCCTAAACCTCTTGAAGGTACAAATTGCCTCTCCCAATCCAGTGCTTTGTTTGGAGATAGGCACATTTGCTTTCTCCTCTCCTGTCAAAACAAAATAAAAGCAAAGTCAATCTGAAGACTTTATAAGAAGGACCTTGGTGAGCTAAGTCTGTCCATGAGGACAAACTCAACAGATCTGTTTTCTGGGAAGTGCATGATTTTGGGACTGGCCTCAAACCTTTTGGCAAGGTGCAAACCGTAGTTTTCAACATTCTTGTTTTGGAATTTTTCATTTCAAATGTGAAAATCTGGAGTAAGCCATTTCTGGAAACTCGAGATGTATAAACTTATGCTATAAAGAAGAAGAATTGACAACTAAGCAGGCTGACTGGCACTCTGTGATTTGTTTGCAAACTTCTATATAGATAAACCCAAGACTAGCTTGTCAACTGGGAAAAAAATGTTCTTCTCCTAAAACACCTGGTTGATTTTGCCTCGCAGTACTTAGAATCACGCTTTGCTGTTGATATTGATATTTTTCATTCTTATAAAGAGATGAATGTAAAGGATGGGCTTTCAAACTGCCTGACAGCTTAAGCCTGTGTTAAATTTAAAGCATAAGGCACATAAAACATGGCCAAGCCAAGGAATATGCATGATCCTGAAAAAGTCTTTTTTTTCCTTTTTGGGCAACAAACTTTCTTTCCTACAAAACGGTGCCTTTGATCATTATACCAAAAATACTTTTAAGTTATGGACATGAAGGGGAGATTGCCATTTCCAACCATGGAAATGTGGCGGCAGCAGGGTGTGTGTGTGAATTTCATCAGTGTGAGTAACTTGCTGAAGGAGGAGTTTCAAGGTGCTCCCATTCCATAAGTCATTTCAGGTAAAAAAAGATGGTGCATGCATTCACATGCATGCATGCATTCTCTGCTTTGAAATAAATGGGGCAATCCGTGTTCACAAAAGCATTGCATGCACGTATATTGGAGAGCACGTGATTGGAATCATTCTCACTAACCACGTTGGACTAAATGGTTAAACAGGAACTATATTTGCCGTAACATCGACCCATTCTAGTTAGCCAGAGAACTTTAAGACAAACCAAACACTTGGATCTAAACTTTGGATAAAGTAGCATGCTTTTTCATTAAGGTAACTAAATAAAATGATGTGTATTCAGAACTTCATGGGATCAACTTTGACTGTCTCAAGTTTAAAAAGAGGAGATGGGGGCGGGGGAGAAACTCGGCTAAGGTCTCTGAGAAGCTTAGCTAGTCATAAAGGGCTCAATTAGGGTTGTAGTGGCTCAGCAGTTAAAGATACTGAGCTTGTCAGCTGGAAAACTGACAGCCCAAGTTTGAGACCGAAGCGTCACACAACGGGGTGAGCTCCCTTTTCTGCCCCAGCTCCTGCAAACCTAGTAGTTCAAAAGCATGTAAATGGAAGTGGGTAAAGGAATAGGTACCATTTTGATGGGAAGGTAAAGCGTTCCATGTGCCTTGGATATAGTTATGCTGGGCCACATGACCACGGAAACATTTTCAGACAATGCTGGCTCCCTCAGCTGAGAAATGGAGATGAGCACCGCCCCCTAGAGTCAGATACAACTGGTCAGCGGAAACCCGACAAGAAGCAACGGGTGGAAACTAATCAAGGAGAGAAGCAACCTAGAACTAAGGAGAAACTTCCTGACGGTGAGAACAATTAATCAGTGGAACAGCCTGCCTCCAGAAGCAGTAAATGCTCCAACGCTGGAAGTTTTTAAGAAGAGACTGGATAGCCATTTGTCCGAAATGTTGTAGGGTTTCCTGCCTGAGCAGGGGGTTGGACTAGATGACCTCCATGGTCCCTTCCAACTTTACTACTATTATTATAACCTTTATCTTTCTTAAAGGGCTGAGTGGAGGAATAATCTGACCTGCAATAAATTGAATTCATTTGAATTTAGCTCTGATCTGGCCTGCTTGAACCTAGGATTCTGTTCCTAGGCACACTTGCCTGAAGATAAGACTTACTAAATATAGTATTGCTTCTTTCTAAGACAAGTGCATGGCATAACTCTGCCTACAGGCCTTTTTTAAAATTAAAGCACCAGATTTAATCTGGTCTGTGTCAGCTGGTCATCTGACCAGAAAACATGTTGGGGCTGGTTGACATTTGCTTTGATGCAGACATTATTGTCACCATTCACAAGCTGAAAATTCTGCTAGCTTGAAAAAAAGGCAGAGATGCAATATATTCTGCTACAAAATGAGAGGCGTGCCCACTGTTATACCAGTGTCAGAAGATCAGAGATTACTCAGTTGAAATATTTTTTTTCTGAAATGCATGAATCAGAATAAAGCTGTTGTGGAAAAATTGAGAGAAAAGAGAAATAAAGAAAAAAAAATCCCTTATACAAGTAACAATGCTCCCAATTTCACATGTTAGTTTATTCCTACCATTTTTATGCTGGTTCCATTCTAAATTCAATGCAGTTCATCATATAATAAAAATAACACAAATAGTAAAACAACAAATGCTATAACACGCAACATTTGGTCCTCATATTTTAAAGTTCATAATAAAAATATCTCTGTTAGGCCACTGAAGTAACCAGTCTTAAAACCATGCATTAGACAGCCGCTATCTGTGTTATAGGACAGGAAGACCTGGAGGAACGTTGTCCATGGGGTCGCGATGGGTCGGACACGACTTCGCAATTAACAACAAATCTGTGTTATACCCTGAATGCTGCACAAAGAGGACCATCTTTATAGACTTAAAAAAGCATCAATAGGGAGGCAGCTGTTCTGACCTTCGAAGATAAAATAATCTTATCCCAGGAAGTTAGGTTTTGCAACAGGCCTTCTCCGCCCATATGTACTAGATAAGCAGATTCTGTTTGGATCAGATAACCGGCACTCATGCAGCATTGGTGTCACTTTACAATAAGAGCTCTCATCTTTCTGTAGGAAGGCAGTGTTTCTTGCAACAGGGGTGGCTTTTAGTTTGTCTTCAAGGGCAGCCCCATGTAGAGTGTGATAATAAGGTCATGTTCAAACACGTGGCGATAAGAGCATGAGTCGGTAATACCGGAGCCTGCTGTATGCCACCCTGGGTTATTCATTCAAGTCTTTTCTAAGTTGATTTGAGGTGTAAGACATCAAAAAGAAAGATATCGGATCAAGAGACTCAAAGCATAACCAGGAAGTGTAAGCATATGAGCTGTTCACACACAATGGAAATAATACAGTTTCAAGCCCACTCATTATTCAGACTGAATGGAGCAATGGTCCATCACATGCAGTTGGACATGTGATAAAAACGCTTGGGGAAGTCACCAGAAACCAATATAATCTAAAGGAGGGGAAACAAAATCCATACAGGGTTGAGCAGAAGCCAAACACCTGGCAGACCTACATAGAACGGAAATGAGCATGAAAAGTTTCTCCTCCTTCATAAGTGTGAATGTAGAGTCCAAATCTGATTTGGCCTTTTGTAACACATCTACAGTTTAAGATTAACTACTGTGCTGAATTAGCACCCAGGAGTGCCCTTAAACTGTCTTTGCTTCATTAAAGTAACAAGCTATTAACTCTCCTCTTCAAAGAAATCAGCCCCAAGTGTGCAATCTACATCCCAGTGAAGTCAATGGCAAAGCTCACTTTGATCTTAATGGGTTAGCATTGCACCCAAAGGTGATGCAAGTATCTTTAATTTGCTAATTTGCCTGTGATGAGGCTTTTCCATTTTTCCTTTTGGTATCTCAGTATGCTTTTAGCTGGGAG